TTGCCATGTAGAGCCTGAATCAAGTGGAGATATGCGAAATCTTGAGAAGCCATGTGATACCAGCCAAACCCTCAATACGTGCCAACTCTCGTAAAGCAATGAGCACGACAGTAGGAGCAGCGAAGGTAAAATGGACCTCCCACCCGTCGCCATGCTGCGTCATGTTAGGGCATAGGTAGTATAGTGGGGAGTGCAGCCGCTCAAGAAGCATGTGGTCAGGGGATCCAGTCTCATAGGCTTTCCTGCGGGCTGAAGGGAACTTGGGGCCCTCTCTCTCCCAGGTCAAGTTGTAATCAGACTGTGGGAAGGCAGAGCAGTGGCTTTTCTCTGGCTATCCCCACATGACATTGTGTAGGCCAAATCGCCTTCAAATCGATCGCAAATGGAAACGAGGTGCGTCGTGCATCCAAAAAAGGATTGGTCAGCATCGAAAGCCTTCAACGAGAACGTGTTTCTAGGTTCTCCAGTGACCGCGGCCCATCGTCGCACCCGACATATAACCCATGAGGGAGGCAAGTGCAACACTGGGAGTGATCAGCACTCCTCAAGCTCAGCGACTGCATCGAAAAGGCACAACAAAAAGGCGGAGAAGGAAGCAGCTCTGGCAAAGGTATTCTTACTCCTTCAAACCCCTTAAAAGCCTATTGGGACACTTCAGAGCGAAGGTGAAGTATCTGAAGTCGATGGAGATTCCGATGATAGCGACTTCTCTCCACGTCGCCATTCAAAGCAGTCTCAAAGACGTGTCAAAGAAAAAGGTGGAAGCTGCATCCGAAGTGGAAAAGGACGTCCGAAAATGCAACGGTGCGTGTTTTTATTGAAGAAGAGTATTACGGTTTTGTGCGCTACGGATGATGAGGTGTGTCAGTGAGGCAGATTCTGGCGCGCAGCCAGCTCGTGCTCCACCTTGAAGCGGGTAAGCGACAGCAGCTAGTGGAAAATGACTGATACGAACGATATGATGCAGTATTGTAGCTTACCCGCTTCAAACGACTGGTGGAGAACGGACTGGTGCCCCTTCCAAAACCATCCCGCCTGACACGTCCTTTCATCCACTGCGAACAAGACTGTTCACGCTTCACCATCTATCATGAAACAAAAACTAGCAAAATGGTCCTTACTGGGAAATTCATTCAAGTTCAGTATGCTTGTACGGCGCTGTCTGACGACGGAGGGAGGGGGGCATTCTGCATCACGACTTCCCATCGACGTGTCGACCCATCTAGACAGCCTCTTCTCGAGTTGACAGGTTTTACCATGATGGCTTGACGAGCTTGCTCCAGCTTCACAGGAGCTTCACAGGAGTTTACAGGTTTCACCAGAGTCAGCATGTAAAGCAGAAATAGTAAGGCAACGGAAGTGCAAAGTGCCCCCCTTCCCCGTCGGCAAACTGCGCCTGCTTGTACTGTACCGTCGATGATATCTATCATTTCAGGAAACAAAGTGCGTATCTTCGCCGCATCGGAGAGGCCGCCATGAGCTTTTTCTGTGGCTTTATAATGCTTACTTGCTTATAATGTCTTCATGTTTAGATACTGAGTCACCAAAGGGAACTGAGCCTGCGTCTTCTGCTACTTCAGAGCCGCCCAAGGTTGAGCAGAAAAGTACAGGCCCTATTGTGCGGCCAGACATACTCACGCATCCAAGAGTGCAGGAAGATATTGCAGCACTTCCGAAAGACCTTGGCCCTGTGGAAGAAATGGTCGCGAAATATAGGCGAGCGTTCAGTATGACAGATTTCATGATGGTTTCTATAGATTATTTTTAGGATTTACGCTTCCGCGGTAGCTATTGGTAGAAGCCTTGAGATAACTATTGAAGAAAGCCACCAAGCTCTGCAAGAGTTGAGAATGTTGTTGGAGTCGAAAAGTACACCTGCATCTGTGATCAGTGTGCCAAATGCTAAAGATTTGGACGAAGATGGTATGCATACCGTGACGGTTTTAGAAACTTGGGTGCCTAAGCAGAATCGGTGGAAATGGGGTTAAACTATGAACAGACCACCCACAGCTGCCCCTAGGTAAAGGGATAGTCAAATCATGTGGACATGTGGTTGTAGAGTGTGCTTATACTTGCCGAGCGAGAAAGATTCTACTGCAAAAGGCTTTTTACCCATATCATGCACCATCAGAAATCACTTTAGCAGGGATGACAGGATATATGGGAAATATTCCTAACAAGGAAAGGATGGTTGGTCGAAGTGGCCATTTAAGACAAGATGTATACTCACTGATGCGTCTTCGGACGCTGATTTCAAATCTGCTTTCCATATCTGCTGAACGATTCTCTGAGCAGAGATATGCAGGAGGTTGTTGTACGGAGCACAGTTGAGTACACAAATCAGACGTAAGTCACTAGGCGATGTGCCGCGGTGGCCTAGTGGGTAGTATGTATGTATGGGTATGGGTAGTATGTCGGGCTTGAGTTTACGAGGTGGGATGTTCGAATCCTTGATGGCTGTGCTCTTTTGCATTGTTTCAGCAGTGCTCTCTGGAAGTTTTTAACACAGCCTAGCATGATCAGGGAACCTTGTCATGCCATGAATAGGGCTTTTCTTGGAAAAGTGAACACTTCTAATGATTTATTTTGCTCATATAGTGGGTACATTCAAGAACAAATGTGATAATCCAGAACAAAGTGTTGGAAGCAAAAAAGTTTCTCGCAATGGGAACACCGGATAAAAAAAATTTCCTTGCACTCTGCTGTGTTACAGGGTTCTATGACATTGCTGATCGGCGATAGTGCCAGCGACCTTAAGGAATTCGTTGCCCATGGTTACCCCACTGTATCGAAAATAGGTCGAAATCTCAGATTTGGTTGAAAACTTGCCTCTAGGGCTAATTTGAGCCCCAGAACACGAATATCACACTTGCTCGGCGTAAAAACGCTCGCCAAGGGAGTTGCAGGTCCTGCACACCCTGCCCCTCCAGAATGTGAACAAGACATTTTTATGAAAAATACCTGCAGTGATGATTTCCAGAGCACCAGACCACCTCTAATTCCAGATTTTAGCAAATTTGGGGGTTTTGGTGTGCCTCACATACATGCTGGAAATGGGTGTGACCTGGTCAAAATTCCTGCATAACTTTGTCCAGGGAATCGTTCAGCAGAAATGGAGGGCAGATTTGTAATCAGCGTTCAAGGGCCCACCGGGCAGTATACATCTCATTTCGAATGGCCACTTCGACCAACCATCCTTTCCTTGTAAGATCTTCTTACCGCTGCATGATTATCCGAAGTTGAGTTCACGGAATAACAGTAATTCCCTCATTGTCAGTCTGAGGCCTAGGTAATTTTCAGGTTGGATACTCGCGTGCAATTTCTCTAACCTGAGGTTCAACGTCGCTCTCATCCAACCCTACAAGTTATCTTTGCGTTGTGCGTTTTAGCTAAAGTTGTACTGCGCGTAGCTATAACTACGACTGCAGAAAGGTGCAAAGAGAAGTTTTAAACAAGAAACTTCTGAACTTTTACCATTTGGGTGTTCAAACCATAACATGACATATAGAAAAGCTTCTTAGCTCTTTATTTGAATAACTTTATGTGAGTTCAGAGTCGTCCTCAGAAGATGAGTGGGAAGAGATGGAACTTGTTGATACTGCAGAAGTAATAACAAAGGTGAGGTAGTCATGCTCTTCCGCTCTGTTTTGGCTCCTATAAGCTCATTGACGCGGTGAAAATGCAATGCTCTGCTTTGCGTTAGAGTACAGGTTTCCGAAAAGGAGCAGATGAGTGAAACCGTCTTGATCGAGTTGTCTAAATGGGATTCAGTCGGGAATCTCGTGCCCTTATCGTTGTATACTTGCAGAGTGTGCACGTGACCGTAGAGCATTCCGATGAGAGAAACTTCGAATCGCTTTGGATGCGTCGCGAAGTGAACAGATGCATTAGGGAAAACTGGGAGCACTGCCACAGGGTACGACCTTATTCAATGATGTGTACAGTCTTGTTCGCTAATGTTGCTGTGGCAATTCAGGGAGCTAGATTTGGCGCCGCGCCAGCCAGTTTCCCTCCAACTGTGCTCGCGTGGCAGCTTCTACAGTTGGGGGAGAAAGGGCTGGCTCCGCGCCAAAGCCATCCGAGCGCACCAGCAGCTGCAGAGAAGAAGACTGACAAGAACTTCCTTGGGAAAGTTCACTTCACAACTTCGTTATTATGCCGAATTACCGAATGAGCTCTACCTTTTCCAGGTCAATATTCTCTGTTACATAGCCCAGCTTCAATATTTGAAGAATCAGATACTGGATGAAGGCTTCGTTCCGTCTTTAATAATGAGCAAGGTAGGCCAATGACAACAGCAGGGTTCCCCAAAACAATGGACACAATTGCACAGGGCGGGCTGTTGTGCGTCATTGTTGCAAGGGCTTCGAGAGGGCCACATACCATTCAGCCTTAACGCTTACGACAACCGCCTGCCCCAGCGATGTGCCCACTACCTTCAGTATTTAATTTGAAATCGCCTCAATTCGGTTGGCTTTTGGGGCCAAGCCCTGTGGGAGCTTTTTTTCCTCGACCGTGTAGGTATGACGCTGTGCCTCTGGTCGCTGCGGCTCGTCTGGTTGGTTCAAGCCTCCGGGTTACAATAAGCACCCATACTTTGTTGTTATTAATTGCTATTAGATAAGGATAATTGCCACTATTACCAGGCTCCACCTGAATGTGCGAACTTGTCGGACAGACAGATGACAGCTGAAAACGCCTTGAAAATCGTGAAGCATTACCAGAATACTTTCAAGGTAAAACTGTGCTCGCTGCTTAGAAGGCATGATTCATGATTCGTAGGAAGGATCTTCAGGTTGCTGAGGCTCCTTTCGAGTCAGACCGTCTCACCACTGCTTTCTTTTCGGAAATGGTTTCACGTGAGGAATACGAAAAGGACGTAGATCGAGCCGTTGTGAGTTGACTTCAAGTTAAAGGCGCAGTTCATGTCCTTATAAGCGAATTACGGGCTTGCACTTTTCTTCCTTTCGCGGCATCCCTTCGTTTAGTGTCACAGAAGGGGGGAGGGGGGGAACTGTAGCAGCGAGGAAGGCTCTCGGTAGACTGGGAGACGTGCAACAGAATCGTCCGGGCAGCGCCCGCGGCACGCGGCGCGTCGCGCGGCGAATGACTCAGCAGCTCACTTACGTGCATTTGCTAGCCGATAGCTTTGCGACTGGAGCAAATGATTTACTACAGCGTACATCCGAAAATCTAATGATGTTTTTCTTGATAGTAACACACAATTGTTTGGCGGTTCCATAAACGCAACTTCAGGAAATAAACAGATACAAAAGAAATCAGAAGGCCGTGATTCTCCCTATGTTTATGTGGTTCACATGATTTGCGCAGTCGCCAGCGTCAATATAATAGACGGATGGCCAAGTTTTTCTGTGAGCTGCTGTAAAAGATGACAAACCAGAGCAAATGTTAAAGACCCCAATGAATTTCGTGCTCTATTGAACTTTTTCATACTCTAACTGAAAACTTAACCGTAACTGAACACAAGACTCGATCCTGGGTGATATCAATATTTACCTTCCCTTCAATAACCCTATTCAAACCGCCAGAAGCACGCTTCGTCTTCTCGCCGCAAGTATAACGCAGGCTACGCCCACCAGCTGCACGATTCTGTTGCTACACACCCCGGTAGACTTGAATTGTGTGACCAGTCTGGACCATGCCCCTAATATCGCTGAATGTTAGTAGCTCAGCTGGTCTTTCCGTTACAAAGCTAGGAATCAGTTTAACAGCCATAATGTTTATATTAGACTTAGATAAAGTTATCGTAGAAGGAAGAAACAGTGTGGACATGGAACCAGGCCAAACACTGTCCGCCTCGACACCGTGCAGCAACACATTAAAGTGACATTACGTTTGCGTTAATGACACTAACGGGGAGAGTAGAGCAATGTTCCGTACACTGCTCAGCCAGTTTGATGGCTGAGCAGTGTACGGAATGGGAAAAATGGCGGTGTCAAACGATCAGTCTGCCAAATTCCCTTATTTGGTACGACCCCCTTCTCCCATAGTATAGCTACCACCTACTTATGTTTTACCAAGTTTATCCCACTTCTAAAGAAAACCGCGGAAAATCAGCAACAAAAAGATTTTGTCGCGGCTGCAAAAAAGTTTACTCGAAGGCAGCTAGCACCCCCATCGAGCCAAGCAGGACCCCCGCTCTTCTTCTGATGGGTTTTCTCAACGGAGACAGCTCTTGCAAGCATAAACTGGGTTTCACTAATGTAGGGATAGACTTGCTTCGGTCACTGAGGGGCAGTTTCGCTGCAGACGTGGGTAGTGTTAGACCCACTCCCCGACTATATCCGCCACGAAGAGATTGATTGAGAGGTGTTCGGGCAAGGCGGTGTAAAAAAGGCCCCAGAGAACGCGAGCTTGTGAAGAAAAGGTCATTTTTGTGCTGAATTCGTCCGAGAGCCTATTTTCTTAGCCTTCACTCGTTGATTTCTGTTTACTCACATATTTCAGCTTCTTTTCGCCCTGTTTTTATCGTTGGGCTCTACCACTCGTATCTGTGTCAACACGCAACCGATTCCGAGGAGATGGGATGAGGCGGGTTCCCTTTCAAAGTTTTAAGCTCAAACTTTAGGAGAGTATTCGCTTCCAGAGTGTACTGGAGAGTATTGCCAAAATGAAGGAAGGCTCCACATCGGTGTCTGTCGCACCGCCGATGAACGAGAAGGGGAAAGCTACTTCAAAGACGAAAAAGACGCCTGGTGCTGACTACCGAGGATTAATTCGCAATTACTGGGTAGAATATTGGGACAAGAAGCAGAAGAGATGGATATGTGAGCTTTCATTGAAGCTTTTATGAATTATACACCTTGTTAGTGTACTCTGTACAGTCTGTTTCGCAGCGAATGAAGCGGCGTGTCAATAAGACTGGGTTTTGCGCTTTGTAACCCGTTACGAATCAATTCCTGAAACGGGTAAGTGATAAAGGCTTGTGGAAAGTAACGGTTCAAACAATACCAGTCGGATCGCTCGGCTGACGCCGAGCTCTCCTCCTTCTCTTTAGCTCGGCTTCGCCGAGCTGGCCTGCCTTCGGCAGGCGCACATAACTGAAACGCAACTTTTTTGATAGTGGGCTGCTCATACAGCGCTGTAGTGATCGAATCGTAACAGATAGAGCAACGCTGCGGATCCTGCTTTCCTAAGCACACGCTTTATATTTGCGCTTATACAGAGCAATATGAATCTCTCAGTAGAAGAACAAATTCCATCTTCATCAACTGCACCAAAATGCCTACCGATTAACCCTTCCCTTTTCAATTACCATGCAACCCGCTTGCTGAAGTACAAATAATTGTAGGTATTATGCTCCCTTATTATTCGTTCTCATCAGTAATTGAAAGGTTGAAGGTAAAAAAGCTATTGAACGCATAAAGTGCCTCATTATTTAGGTTTTCGGTTCTCCTCGAATTTCCCTGAGCTTCCTGTTTTACATGTTTCACGCGAAAATAACGTTTCAAACAATATGACCCAGCCCTGGCGCTTAAAAGGAAAAGGAGAGGCTGGCGCTGCGTCAGACCCATCCTCTTTGACATGCCGCATCACCAGCCAGCGGATAAGGGTGTAAATGCGTCAATTAAGGTGTCGATCCTCTTCGAGCTACCGTCGACGAGCCGAATACGATCGAGGAGAATACTACGAAGCCTACCATTTACGTCCTAGCTATTGATAACGGTAAGCAGACAGTTTTTATGGAGAATAAGAACTTAGGTCACCCTTCATGCAGATCTTGATATTGCTGAGACGTTTTTGACGTTCCTGCTCTCCGACAGGACATCTCACTTGTCTGGTACAGATGTCCATCGGCGCGGTTTGCCGACGGGGGGGGGGGCATTTTGCACTTTCGTTGCTTCACTAGTTCTGGTTTACAAGTCTCACTCTGGTGAAACCTGTGAACTCTTGTGAAGCTGGAGCAAGCTCGTCAAGCCATCATGGTAAAAAACTCGAGAAGAGGCTGTCTAGATGGGTCGACACGTCGATGGGAAGTCGTTAAAGTGCAAAATGCCCCCCCCCCCCGGTCGCCAAACAGCGCCATCTCCATCTTTATATGAACCGCACCTCTATTAGTCATGTATAGTTGTAGAAATCAAATTATGCATTGCAGAAGGCGGCGTACGTGATGTGACTGCTCGGTATGCAGCCGAGTTCTCTCGTCCCGATTTTCGTCGACGCCGAACCGATCCAGATTGGCTTGGCAGTACTTTGATGAATAAGGTACAAATAAAATCACGAGGAGAGAGAAAGTAAGAGTGGGTGGGAGTGAAAAAGCTCATTGAGGCAAGAGATGTGTTTATAAGGCAAGTATACGAAGGAACGGTCTTACGGTCTCATAAAAGGAGCGGGTATTCTTAGCTATGACCAGATGGGTGTTTGTACACTTCCCGAATAGCTCATTTTTTCATCCAAATTTATCCCCGCCTCAGCTTTTTTCCTCGAACGAGGTCCGCTAATTTTGGGGTCCAGTCTCGGATAGAATCATTGCCAGAAATCGGATAGAACCTCATATATCAGCTGGCCCCTGCATGCACTGCAGGGTAAAGCTGATGTTCAAGCCCTTACAAGACCAGACGCTGAGCCAAGTCGCATTCAAATGGCACCATAACCGGGAGGGAAATGCTTAGTCCATCTCTTTGAGGGACTGATAAGGCTGATGGTTTACCATTTTCATTACTTTAGAGGCACGTTCCGCGGCAGTCCTTCTGGAGTTGTAAAAGAGAGAAGCCGCACCAGTGAGGAAAGCTTGGTGGTTAGGAGTCTCCGCCCCTCCGAATTTCGTGGAATGTGTCGTCAGCATTACATAGAAAGTCTGCAGATCCAGTGTTTCTCTCGTTTTGCTTATTTTAGAACCTCAGTTGAGAAAGAGGTTTCAGATTCCCGCTGGGTCTTGACCTTCAACCGCCTTTCTAGGGGCGCTAATTTCTGGTCATTGGTAAATTACCAGTGATGTTGTTATAGTCTTTCACATGTCGTTTTTAGGCCATTCGAGCCAACCGTAAGAGAGCTAGACTGGAAGACGTTCACTTCAAGAAGGAGCTCGTCAATAAACCATTACCAACCACTTTATCGGAATATAAGAACCACCCACTGTGAGAGAAAGCCAGATTTATTCGTTTAGACTTACTTAATAGTGAATCTTCCGGATAGATATGTGCTGGAGAAGGATCTTCTAAAGTTCGAGGCTATTTACCCAAGACCAGAAGATCAGAAACCTTTGGGTGAAGTTCGTGGTCACAAGGTTTATCCGCGGTCTACCGTCCATACCCTCCAGGGTGCCAATAATTGGATAAAGCAGGCTAGGAGTGTGAAGGTACATTGTTCAGCACTTATGCAATAGTATAATGTCATTGCAAAATTAAAGGAAGGAGAGAAGCCCTACAAAGTGGTAAAAGCTCGGCCGAATATACGAGTTCCAGCCGAAGAGCGGGAGCAACGATATTTGGATGTGTATGGTTATTGGCAGACTGAACCATATCGACCACCAAAAGTGACAGATGTGAGGATTTTTGGAGAAATTTTTCGAAAAGAGAGCAGTTAGAGATACTGTCTATAACAAAATGCTCAACGAATCGCTCAACACGTTAGAACTGAGGGGGAGAAAGATGATGTAGTGACAAGTATCGTGCTCCCTTTTGCGCGGTCCTCGATTCAAATTCCATTGCGACTCCCGCCGAGACAAACTTCTACCCTCTGGGGACAGTGAATTGCTACCAAATCGTCTGGGACGATAGGAGCACTGATTTGCATCGGCCGGCCCTTGCAAGTTACTGTGTAGACCACATCGCATTTATACAATTTTCACTTTAAATTCACCGCTTTCCAAACCAAATTCATCACCACTTCTAAATCAAGTTTACCACACTTATTAGTCCGGGCAATTCATCAACCAGATCACGCCAGACACCACTGCGAGCCCCGCCCCGACGGCCACGCCTACTTGTCAGCGCGGACATAGATTTTCAAATCTTGTTTCATAACTTCTGCTTCTGTGACTTTTCTTGTCTTTTGCTGTTTCCCACATACACTTTGACCGAAAGGACTGGACATCGACACAGGCCAACTCCGCCTATTCTGTGAAGGGTTTTCCAATCTAGGCTTCCCCCCTCCTTGGCCACGCTCACTTGTTTTTGCGGAATTTTGATATTTTTTCGAAATTTTTGCATTTTTGGACTGCTACGTGAAGCCCCGCCCACTGTGAGAGGCTCCGCCCACTTTGAAGAAGCCCCGCCCACTTTTCAAAAATGGTGCAAATCGGCAGTATAGAGACTTGGCTTGCATGCTAGGGTCTCGTTCGTCACTCGGAACAAGAAAATCAGGCAAAGTTTATTCCGAATGATCAGCAATACCCTAGCATACCCTTGAAAAGTGGTGAATTTGAAGTAAAAATGGTATAAAAAACCCATTACGATTCTGAATGGAAGTAGAATGCGTGATGTGTAGGGAATGATTAGCACCAAAGTCTTTCCCTTTACTGCTCCGTATTTTCCGCTGATTAACTAGAGTGCCTCTCCTCCTTAACTCAGATACCAATCTTCTTACCTATTCTCAGTTACCTCTCATCCCTTTTCGAGAAACAATTCTGGAAATGGCTTTAATTAATAGGTTTTTTTCGAATGTTTTCTTACCCTTTAAAAGTCTTGGTTTTAGGGCCGAATCCCATGCAACGAATTCGGCAATGTGTATATGTTCCAACCATCCATGTGTCCCATTGGAGCCGTTCACTTGCGCCTTTCTGGATTGCCGTCGATCGCTCGTCGACTGGGAGGACTTGAGTGCGTGCCCGCTGTTGTCGGATTCGATTTCAGTTCAGGTTCATCGTTCCCAGTGTAAGTATTTGACGATTATTTTGATTTTATGCTGAACTTTAGAGTCTTCAAAGTTTCCCTTTATAGAATAGATGGTGCGGTTGTGTTGAAAGAAGACGCTGAGAAGTTCACCAAGGAATGGAAAAGGCTTGAAGCTACAAGAGAAGAGCGCGAAAACAAGGTAAGATTTGAGCCGTCGGAAAACTTCATAACGGTGCTGATCTCTTGGGAGGGACATTCGCTGATTTTCTCCTGCTGGTCGCTGTTAGATTCACGCCTCACATCTTGATGAAACCTGTAGACTTGCCGAGTGAAAACGAAGCCCCTGCCACTGCATAGCTTCACAGGAATTCACTAATTCACAGATGTCACAGAAGGCATCGGCAGTGATCGATTGCAGCCAGAAAAATGCCTCCACCAGGCCGAACTGGGCTCTTCATAGTTATAAAAATTATTACCCCTCTACTCTTTATTTTGCTGCTTTGGTTGACAGATACATTGCACGATCTCAAATAGCAGGGTCCGAATACGAATTCGTGCTTGGTGCTAGTGGATGTACAAGGAAGGAGGAGGCAGAACCCTTCAAAAAGCCTTCGGGCCGGGCTTGTTTTCTGCATTTGGGGAGCATGTGATGAATAGAGTTGCACAGGGTTCAGCGTCCCCCTCTCGGCCGGAAAGTACACATACGCAGTGTACTCGGACGAGGTCCCGCCTACCAGATAATCGCGGAATATTCTTGGTTATCCATAAGTGATCGGAGTTGCAGTTATTGTGTACCATAGCTAGCGTATTACCGTCCACACCCTTGGAATCTTTTCCTTCTCACTCTGCACCGTAGCGAACTGCGAGAAATATTAGGTTTACAGAGATCTGTAAACAAATGTGCTAGAATCTCTTCCAGTAATTTGGAATACCACTCAAAATCGCAGTTTTTTTTAAGATGTCAAGTTTTATGTGTTCTAGCGACGGGAGGAACGTGTACTTGGTAATTGGCGAAAGCTGATCCGTGGCATTCTTCGCCTTCATTATGTCAAAACCAAATTCGGAGCAACAAAGGACAAGGTTGGCCTTTTTATTTGGCTAATTCAATTTGAAAAAAAAGTGCTCAAAGACAAACTGTACCCACCTCTCTCAACGGTTAATGCCATTCATGTGCCGCCGAATGGTTGCGCAGCTGCAGTAGCGCGCCAGGCACCGTTCAGAAACCGCGATCGCGTCGCTAGTGGTAGCGACCGGTTGTGTGGCGCGACTGATTCGATCGCGCTCCAATGCAAAAATCAACTGGACGGATGCTAATTTACAGCCATTTTCGGTTACTTTTTGCTTCTTTCTCCTCCCGCTTGCTTCTCGCTTGTTTCTTCCTCCTCCTGGCACTATTATTTCTAATCTGTTTCTAATGTTTGTCAGTTATTATGCTTTTTACCTTTGACATAGTGAAATTTTTCAGATGCATTGAAATTTTTTGGATGGACGGCCGTTCTGCGCGCAACTTTTCTTGTTTTCGAGGTGGTGAGAATGAAAAGATAACAAAACTGCAGGGAACCTGAAGAACCCACCTCGGAAACAAGAAAAGTTGCGCGCAGAACGGCCGTCCATCCAAAAAATTTCAATGCATCTGAAAAATTTCACTATGTCAAAGGTAAAAAGCATAATAACTGACAAACAATAGAAACAGATTAGAAATAATAGTGCCAGGAGGAGGAAGAAACAATCGAGAAGCAAGCGGGAGGAGAAAGAAGCAAAAAGTAACCGAAAATGGCTGTAAATTAGCATCCGTCCAGTTGATTTTTGCATTGGAGCGCGATCGAATCAGTCGCGCCACACAACCGGTCGCTACCACTAGCGACGCGATCGCGAAGCTGAACGCTGCCTTACTTAGCTCAAAAGTGCACGGGGGAACTGGCCTGTAGGGTAGTGGTGACTGGGTGCCGCGTCCCTGCTCCGCCCCCTTGTTCAAGGTGCAGCATTTACGTCGATAAAAGTCCCGTAGAGAAGAGGTGATAGTACAGCTTGTCTTCAAATGAAAAAGGCAGATAGACATCCACACACTTGTATTTAGTCGAAAGGGAAGAAAAAGAAGGGCAATGAAGCACGAAGATGAGGAAGCGAACCATGCAGTCATTGACAGAACCGTGATGGCGCAGCGCCAAGTATTCACTCATGATGAATTGATGCAGCTGAAACGCTGACGACGAAACACTCATTTTATTTTTGCTAAGGAGAAAGTCTTCGTTAGTTCACTTACACTTTGAGCTGGGTTGTTTAGTTCTTTTCCTTTAACTTTTGTGACCGTTTTAGAAGCTCAGTATTAACCGGTACCTAAACAGGTGACAGATTTTCTTCTCAGTTCTCCCGGTTCGTTAGATTCTTGCCTCACATCAGGATTACTATGAAAGCTTTGCAACTTCTTGATCTTGACTAATACTGAGATCTCTGTATTCTACTTTTCGAGCATCAATATATATAAGCAATCCTCAATATTGCCGCAATTTTTACATGTTGAATAGAATTTACATACTTCAGTGAATTAAATGGGAGTGACATAATGGCTAAAAGGGGAGGGAGGGGGGTGAAAGTAGGCCCACCAATGTTGCTGGCAATAACCGCCCGCCTTCAGCAGTCGTGCCGCTTGCTTTCAAGTACCTACGTGGTAACAACGGGAATGGGAATTGATAACAAGGGTCGTGATGGCAGCAAAATTGCATTATTTCCAGACGTTTAAATTAGGCTATGTTCTCATTACTTCATTGTGGGCTTTTATTACTTAGTATGGCCAATAGTAGTTGAACTTACCCTTTTTGTTTGAAGCTCAAAAACTCATTGAGCGTAACCGGTTAGGGCGATACCCGATTTTCTGTCCCCCTCACTCATGACCCATTCATCTGGCTCGCCCGTTAAGCAGCGAGCCAGATGAGTTCAAAGTTCGCGATGACGCGTGTCGACGCGCGTTACAGCTCGTCGTCGCAAACTCTGAATGCTTTTTGACTACAAAGTCGCAGTGGTCCAGTATATCCCCCTTTCTATACAGAGACGGCTTCTGTGTTTCTCTTCCTGCTCATATCTGGGGGGAAATGGCAGAAAGGTTAAGGCAGTTCGGCTGATAGGGGAGCACTTCATATCGCGAAGATGAGGAGGGTGTGGCCGCGTACTACTTCGAGTATGGCAGCAAATGCGCATCTTTTGGTATATTGCCGTTTAGAACAATTATACGCGTTCTTTGTCCAGCGCAGCACAAGACACAGTCCCTAGATATTGTCTCTAGTGGGCAGGTCATGAGAAATGCGCATCCTACGATCCTTTGATGAAGTATGCAGCCACG